AAACTAGGATGGGTTTATCTCTTTTTATACAGGAATGCAAGCATCTAGATTATAGTGAGGCAAATCAACTTTAATACATTTTCGGGGAGGAAGAACATTGTAATTCACCTTGATATTATCTTTATATTAAAGAATAACTCCCCATGACAGGGCTGACTTTAAATGGTAAATATATTAACTATTATAAATCTCTTCTAGAACTTCACGGATGATTTTAATATACATGTTAAATGGTCACATGTGTAAAGAGTCAGGGAAAGCATTGCCCTGAAATAGAATATAGAATTACCCTTCTACAACATCATTGTAACTTTAAACATACATTTGGAAAACAGGGAGCAGGGTAGAAATTCGTATCCAAGAGAATAATAAAAAATAAAATCTACATTCGGTCAGAGTCACAGCTGGAGTGAATTTAAGTCACCTTGTCCTCTTGCTTTCTCTGGTCTAGAACAAAAAAATAAAATGATGGATACTTATATGAGAGTATCATTAAAATGCTTCTGCTTGTCATGGTAAGCGTCCACTTCTGTCAGTTATCCACTCCACAGACCTGACCATGAAAACAACGGGATACAAATGTAGGTGGTTTCCAAATATTCTCAACTGTTTTTGAAAACTTAACTGTAAAATGACACACTTGTTTTGTGATATCCAAAAAGTGTTGGCCGGTTATTTACGTCTTAGCAGGGAGAAGCTGGACTGAGGTTAAAATAAATCTTGAGTAATTTCAGAAAGCGAGGCTAGCGGCTCCAAAAAAAAAAAAAAAAAAAAAAAAGACAGAGTAATTTATTTTACCGGGTATTTTCGGGAATTGTGCACAGGTACAGATAGAAATTCTAAATTATTTCTAGAAAACATGTTCTTATGTTTTCAGAAAGAGCAAGCAAGCGCTGAGAGAAAACATATTGCTGACTAGAGGTGTTATAGGGGATATAACATTTTTATTAAAGAAATTGAAATCTACCAATATTAGTGGTCTCTAAGCAAGTCCTTCGAGTTCTAAGCTCTTCAGTGAATTTCAATAATTCTTTACTCAGAACACGATGTCAACCAAGCAACTGTCCTTCGAGTAGCCGAACTGTATTAGAAAGTTATAGAATCAGGATTACATTAAACGAGCTGGAGATTCTTTTCACAGACGTGACTCAAGTAGCTTGTTAGCATCTTAAATGTAACTATTTGTCACCAGTCAATCTTCCTATCACTTTTAGAAGTATTTGAACTTTGTATATCTTGCATTCAAGTTCAACACAGCAATTAAAAAGACCACATGTGATGCGAAGAATAGATACTCTTAGAAACACAAACCAAGATCTTTCATTAATACACAAAACACTGTGGACTATAAAGGTGAAAATGGTTGTTTAATTGCTTTGGTATATTCTTAAGTTTGTTTTAAAGATGGCCCATAACATTCAATATGGAAAACTCTAGAGATCTAGAGATGCTATCGGGGAATTGCAATATATATATTATGTATGTATTATACATATATATATGTATATATTATGTATATATGTATATATATATGTGTATTTCAAATTACTTTTGGATTCAAGCATGTGAAATACTCTGCTTAGGATCTAAAATACATAAATACCATATAGTTGTAGAACTTGATTTATACTGTACACATATACAGCAAGCCCAGTTTTTGAAAACCCAATAGCAACACCAGAAATGAAAATTAACTTAAAAAAATAGAATAGCTCATTAAAAACCATTTTTCCTAATTATTTCATGCCAACTACCTCTATATACTACTCTCAATTTTCTTGGTCAGTTATCACTCTAAGTTTTCATAGTGTCTTTGAAAGGAAACCTAAGTATTTTCTATGTCAGTTTCCATCATAAGCCATAATAGTCCCCTACATCTCTGGTCAGCAATGTGTTTTCTCTCAGGGCTCGCTTGCTGTTTCTGAAAATGTAAGGGCGTGTTTTCTAGGAGTAATTTACAACATGCTCACCTTTCCTACAGAACAGGAAGAACCTATAAATTAAGAACACTTCCCTTCCTTGAAATCAAACTGCATCATTTCTGGGAAACTCTAGAGCTTACTTAGTCTTATTTTCAATTTTATGGATCAAGGGATAATTATATTTCTTCCAAAAAAATTATTCTGCAATAGCAATAAGATTTGTATTTCAGTTCCCTATTCTGAAAGTTTGAAATAGATACGTGTTAAATTTCAGTTTACTAAAATGAAGATCAAAGACAATGTTTCTAATCTCCCAATGGGAGGCCACATCCTGGAGATTTCCCACTCTGTATCTTTAAAGACAGATATTTCAATGTCATCAGTCACAACTGAAAGTGACGGACAGAGCTAAACTTCTTAGGCCTTGGGTGGTACTATAGAAACAGCTGCTTTCATCAGTTGGCACTTTGCTTTTGATCCTCACAACCAAAATTGGTTACATGATGGCCAAACATTCTGGGCACCAACACTGCTGTTCTAGATCTCTCTCTTGTACATGCTAGCAGACTTGCTCACTCTTGCTTACTAAAAAGAGAAAACCAGCAGGATCTTTTCTTTTGGGTGTATTTCCTAACTTACTTACACCTATTTGTGAATATTAAGACTTTTGGAGACCCATGTATTCCATAGAATAAAGAAGATATAATAATAAATGTTCAAATAATTAATTTTTCTTCTTCAAAGAACTACCTTGTTTTCATGAGACCACCCGCTTTAAACGAAACCACCAGTGAGAAGACTAAAAAGATACAATGTAGTCCTCCTAGCTACAGACTATCTTCCTGCCCCTCACCATGAGATTTTGTTTTGCTTGCTCTTAATTCCAGCATATTAGACTTTCTCACAGACCTACATTTTAAGAATCTCTTAATTATAGTTAAATATCTATAGTGAAATATATTTTATATGCTAAGCTCTGTGGGCATATCATGAATTCAACTTGTAAAATGAATAAATATGTATTCAGTTTGAGGAGTTGAAGTGGTGGTCGCGAACTCTTTTAAAAAACACATACGCACACATAATGAAGGAGGTCTTTGAGGGACAACAAAGATAACCCATAACCATCTGTCTAAAGATATGTTAGAAAAACATTAAGGGATTAAATTTGGAGATATGTTCTTTAGTCCACTCTGTAATGCCCTCATGGCTGCTAGTATAACTGGTGGCTTGACAGAAGAACGTTAGGAATAAGGACCTTCAGTGCTATCAGAACTAAGGGCATGGTGCAGAAACTCCAGGGATGTGCACTGATTAGATAGAGAGAAGCCAGGAGAGGCTGGTGAGTTTTTCCTTGGGAGAACTACAGCTCTCTGAAACTAAGAAGGTGAAGTGAGAAGTGAGCGCTCTGCGGTAGATTATCTGTAAATGTCCTTTCAGTCAAGGGTCCCAGCTCATGATGGACCCCAACAAGAAGGTTAGGCTAATTGCTCTTGAAAATGTTTGGGTGTCTCCCACGGAAAGAGAAATAGTAAGAAAGGTGGCAATGTTGGTGTGGTATTGTGTGAGAGAGGTAGTGCATGCAAAAAGTATGTGTGTGTATATGTACACACGTACGTGTATGTTTCTTATTTTCATTAAACTCCTTTAAAGTCCTGGAATTGAAGCCTTTGCAGTCCTTTAAGAGAATAGCTGACATGTTTAGTATTTCAAAACACTGGGAAGCATTTTCAAATTGCAAAAGCAGAACTCGTGTATGTGTGTGTGTGTGCCTGTGAGTGTGCGTGTGCGTGTGTTTGGAGCACACACACATGCACACGCACACGCACACGCACACACACACACACACATACGCACACACACAAACACCAGGCACTCAGACCATGAGAGGGCAGTAGGGGACCAGACTCAGGCCGGAGTCTTCCCTGGCTGTCCAGCCTTCCCTGCCAGCCTTCCCTCTCCCTCCTGGGCTGTGGGCAGCTGCAGCTGATGACAGCGTGCTGAAAGCGGATGCAGCCTCAACTCTGAGCCAGAAACCCCGCATCTGCTGAGCGTGGAACTCTGCCTGTGGTTGACACGTGTGAGAGGTGCATGTGCTGTTTTGGCAAACTGGCTTTCGATTTGGGCTTCCCACAGAAGAAGCAGAAGGTGGAGCTGCGGTGGTTCCCAGTGCCCACAGAGCCCCCTCTTCTGGCCACCACGCAGGGACCACACTTGGTACCCTGTGCGCGCGCTTTGCTTCAGTCCGCTCTGGGTGTCTGTGTAACCCTTTGTAAATGACCGCCAATCTATCTGCCTGTATGACAGACATCAAGACGCCCGTGGGAAGTACCCTCTCTCAAAAAATCGTCTTTGGTATCCTTGCCATGTTGTACGCACTTAAGACACTGTCATCGTCACCTCATTATTTTCTTCCTGCCAATTGATTTATTTGCAGTTCTACTTGAGTGAGAAATGCGAGTCTACTGGAGATTTTGCCTGCCAGTGCTAAGAATTTGGCAGAGAAAGATAGCGCGAAAGAGCAAATCGCCTCTCGGCACTGTAAAATGTTTTGGGTGCCTGAGATCCAAATTCTCACTGCACTATGACATCCCACGCTGTCACTTACACCAATTAGGTGTTTGGAGCACACACAAACTTTTCATTTGAAGACAACAACAGACCCTATCTTCCAGAGTTGTGAAGATTAAATAAGTGAACACTTAGAATCGAGGCTAGCACATCCCAGTTGCTATGTCAGCTGCTGTTCACATCCATTGCATCCTCCTGTTGAATAGAAGGACCATTCTGGCCACTTTGCCAAAGAAACGCACTAGATCTTTAAAGTTCCCATGTCTCAATACAAAGATGAGACAGAACTTTAAACCTCCCGCTGTAAAAAAACATCCCAGAGACCAGCAAAACACCCAGGTCCTGGTGCCCATGCAGATCCAGCCTCAGCAACCCCCTCCCAAAGAGCCAGAAGCTCCACACCTGGCTTGGTCAAAGGCTTTCACTTTTGCAGGCTCAAAGACAAACTGCAGATGCAAAAGCTCTGGTCCCTACCTCTCCTGGCTGAAGTTTGGGGGGGTTTCCTACCTGCCCCAGGCTTTTGCCCTTCTTACTGCCGCCGAAAGCCAGTCCTTGGTTCATGCCCGCAGATCGGTTGGCAGCCTGAGCAGGAGTCTCCCCTCCTAGAGAGGACTTGATGGAGTTGAGTTTGGCCCGTGAGCTGCCTAGCTGTGAGCTCTCCACCATCAGCACCGCGGCCAGTAGGAGAAGACAGCGGGATGAATCCTTGACCCGCATCAGCGCGGCCATCTCCGGGTGAGGGGTTCCCGGAGTTGGGTGGAGCCCTGAAAGATGGGAAATGCCAGGAGAGTGAGGACGCCGACACTCAATCCCTCAAGTAGGGTGCGTGGGCTCCTCACAGAAACAGTCCCCCAACCCTTTCTGGAGCAGACACTCGGGACTCTTTAGAACTCAGTCTTAAGCCTCAAGCCCGGAGCAAAGGCGACCCCAGTGAGACCCGCTCCTCTGGCGGGCAGGAAGTTCTGCAATCCCTGGAAGCAATCAAAGGCCAGACGCCTTCTCGCCAAGGAGGCGTGACCCAAGGTGCTGTTAGACCCAGCCCTGCAGATCGCCCTGCTGGCTTAGCTTGGTGTTCAGCACCTTTGCGCTTTCGCCCGATTTTCCGCGATGATGGACTCCTCCCTCTTAAGTTCAAGGGGTTCTCCCCAGCTGCTTCTTCCTTTTCTTTTTCTTCCTTTCTTTTTTCTTGTTTCCCCTGGCTTCGGTTGCTCCTCTGTCCTCTCCTGCCCTTTAGCTCTCAACCTTTGCACCACTCAAGTTTCTCTTTTCCAGGTTCGTAGCAGGCTTTGTTACTGGTGAGAAAGACTCGCCCCCACCCCCTCCACCAGTCTCTGGAGAGCTGAGGCGAGTCGAGGTCCCAGCAAGCGCACTCCCAGTGGTGCGGTTAAAAGTTGTCCCTTGGTTCACACGGGGCCACCAAGCCCTGCCAGAGAAGCAGTGATGCGCTGCACGGGAGGGCCAGTGCTCTCTTGCTGCTCTCCCCCGCCCTCTTAGCTTTTTATAGCTTTCCTCAGTGGGGTTTTCCTCCGCCCCCAATTCAAGAGTGACAAAGAGTGAAAACGTTTCTCTCCCCCACCCCACGCTCCCGCCTGCCTCCCCTTCCCCCAGCAGGCGCTCATTCTGAGGCTGTCTCTCAATGCTTCTCACCTTTCTTACCCTCCCATCCTTCCTTCTCTCTGCAACTAAAAACTTGGGATTCACCTCCAGAGGAACACAGGGGAGCTCTTCCTGGCTGATCACAGCTCCGAGAGTGATTGGGAGTTTGGAAAGCAGCGAAGATGAAAAGGAAAAGTTGTTCCCATTTGTGGTGACTACCAGCAACCGCTTCTTAGTTCTCCCACCCGGCTCCAGCCTCCAAGTAGGAGCGCTGGGAAAGCTCTGTAGAACAAATGTAAGTTAACTTGGTGGATTGTGGGCAACCTAGTTAGATTTTTAGCCTGTGCCTCTCTTTTAATGTGCTGTGTGAGGCTGCCCCGCTGTAGGTGCATCATGGGGTTGCACTTCGAATGGGGGTACATGAACAAAGGGGAAGGATCGAGAGGACTAAAGGAAGAGGGGCTATAGAAAGGGGGCGAGAGGATCAAAGAACCAGGAGGGGGAATAAGGGATCATTCTTCCCCGCTGAAATGCCTGGATCTTTTGTTTTCCTCATCCCTAACCCACCCACACATACATAGCACACAGTTATTCAACCAAGGAGTGAGGAAGGAGATAATATCCCGGGCTGTGCGACCTGATGTCTTGATGAGACACTTTTAGGGTGCCAAAGCGTCCTCTGCAGAGGAAATCCCAAGCAGAAATAAAAAGCCTAATGAGGAACCGGGTGGGTGAGGAAGTGGTCCAGAAACTTCTGGTCCTGCCTCTTGCTCTATCATGCTCCCCGCATTCCTTGCCCCCAGGCCTTTGGATAGCCTTTCAGGTTATCCTTTGAGGTTTGGAGTTCCGCACTCTTCCACAGAGGCGGAGAGCCACTGAGCGAAACACTCAGACGCGCTGGCTGGCTTGAGGCACTTGGGGGCGCCAGTAGCAGCAGTCAGCTAGGAGCGCAAACTCTGCAGGAGACAAGCTTTGCCAGCGAGCTCTGGGTTAGGAGAGGTTTGGTCGCCCAGAAGACCAGAAGCAAAGGTTGCTGCGTGTTTCTTTACCATGACTTCAGCCATGCAGTCCATAGCAGTATCCTTGAGCCACAGTTTGGAGTCAGACAGGGGTCACTGCTGTGGTGAGCAGACTCCAGTAGCACACTCTAGAATTTAGAGTTTAAGTCTCTTCTTTCACACCTGATTCTGGCTTATACCAGCCTTTCCAGGAGCCTAATTTAGCATGTCGTAAGGGGAAGGTTAAGGACGTTTGTACTTTCCATCAAACACAGTAAGACTTAAGGCGTGCATTAAGAGCTGGGATGTCCAGGGCAGAGTGAACTACTCATTTTGCTTTCCTGACCTGTCAGCCATCCTGTCTAGAAACTTTTCATGTACACAAAGTGGTAGCCTTGATTTTTTTAAAATACACAACCAAACAAGAAATAAAACATGTTTTATCTCCAGATTGGCCTATTGCCTTAAAGTAAAACAAATGTGCTAACTGACTGACTGACTGATTGATTTACTTTTTAATTTATTCTTGAGGGCATGTTTAAGTTATGTTGCCCAAACTGGCTCCAAGCTAGTAATCCTCCTGTCTCCACCCCTCCCCCCTTCCCTTTCTGTCTCCTTATCCTCAGTGCTGAGATTACAGACAACTTCCATCACTCTTGTCAGACTTTGTTTCACTTTTCAAATGTGTAAGAATAACATGAATGACTCTTGAGGAAGAGACACCAGTGACATGTGCCAGTCCTACATATCTAAGATAATGAGGATGGCAATTATCAGGGGTAGGAGGAAGGACTGGTAGAACATTACTGTATCAATAGGCACAAAGTCCCAATACATCATGATAAATATACCCTAGACTTTGTTAAATTGCATCATGTCTAGAGCAAATGATAACGAAATAAGCATCTAATATGGTCTAAAGGAATGATCTCATGGCAAATGTCTTTACGGTGGTAAATAACATACATACACGGATATATAATTTTATGTGGTAAAAGGTGTGTGTGCCTGTGTGAACCCAAGAACAAATTTGTATGGTTTTAAGGAAAGCAAGACCCTAATGGAACATGGGAGAGGAAAATGGTCTGTATGTTGTGAATAAGCCTTTAGTCTTTACAAACAGATAGTATCTTTTGCTTTTGTTTTGATTTGATTTGCCAATCAGAAACATTACAAAAATTCAGGGAATTGAGTTAGAAATGTTCTGATTTGGATATTTTAAAGAATATTTTATCATTTTTGCAACTTTAATTTCTTTTTTTGTAATGTGTTTTTCTTTTATTGGATATTTTCTTTACTTACATTTCAAATGTTATCCCCTTTCCAGGTCTTCCCTCTGGAACTCCCTATCCCATCCTCCCTCCTCCTGCCTCTGTGAGAGTGCTCCCCCCCAACCCCCCTACCCACCCACCCCCACCCACTTCTGCCTTTCCACCCTGGAATTCTGATACACTGGGGCATCGAAGTCCATCAGGCCGAAGGGCCACTCCTCCCACTTATGTCCAACAAGGCCATCCTCTGCCACATACGTGGCTGGAGCCATGGGTCCCTCCATGTGTACTCTTTGGCTGGTGGTCCAGTACCGAGGAGCTCTGGGGGGTCTGGCCAGTTGATATTGTTGCTCTCCCCACATGGGGCTGCAAATCCCCTCAGCTCTTTCAGTCCATTCTCCAACTCCTCCATCATGGAACCCCTCACTCAGTCCAGTGGTTGGCTGTGAGCATCCGCCTCTGTATTTGCCAGGTTCCGGCAGAGCCTCTCAGGAGACAGCAAGCATTAGTGTGTGAATAAGAGGTGTGTGCATGGTGTGGCCTGTGGGGAGGTCAGAGGGAAGTGTTATGACTCAGTTTACTGTGGCATGGGCTTGGGTTATCAGACTTACACAAAAGATTCTTTTATTAGCTCACCCATCCCCAACAAGTATTTTATAGCAAATCAAGAGTCAAAATGTCCTTAGATATCTATGCACTAAATCATATAATTATCTGAAAGGAAAAAAATTTGACCATATGTGGAAGACAAAAATCAAGTTAATAAAGAAAACTAAGAAGATCTTTGCCTGTTTGCAGCACTTTACAATTTTTATCTGAGTAGAATTCTAACACACGCTCACTGCATGCTCAAGCGCTCACGCACAAACACACACACACACACACACACACACACACACGACACTTGAATGCAGTATGATTAGAAAATTAATTTCAGTCACGATGTACTTACTGCATAAATCCCTCTTATATGAAGACCATAATATGGAGTCTTTCCTGAAGTCAACACAGCACTGTACGAACTCCATGAATAAATTAAACATATAGTTAAACTTCAAGTTCATATGGTCACACTAGGCACACACACATGGTGGCACACGCACTCAGGAGACAGAGGCAGGTAATCACTATGAATTCAAGGCCAGCCTGATCCACATAGTGAGTTCCAGGCCTGCCAAGGATGTACAGTGAGACTCTCCCTCAAAAAAAATCCACATAAAATTTGCTTTTACAAATATTCTCATGCAGTAAGCAGAATCAAATATATGGGGTCAAACAAATATAAACAACCACACCTTAGACTAAAAGGGGAGAGATAACTGGTTTCATTGATAACCTAAATGTTTTCTATACAATTATTTGATAGATGCAAAAATTACACATACAAGGAAATACACACACACAGTATCAATAACTGAATAAACACATGCCTTGGGCTGTCTTCATGAGTCCACATGTGTTTGTTCCTTGTGTGCTTAGTTAAATAGGAAGAAACACCATCGTACTTTACTTGGGAGAACTGATTTCTAGATCTCTGGCAATAACAAAGCTAGAGAACAAAAGCATACAAAGAAGATTGTGCATAAGTCAAGTCAAATCTCTTCTGTTCAGAAGAAAGTGTGGACACTTTGTTCTCTGGCTGTACGTTTCCTCCCCTCTCTCTTCTTCCAGCTCTGGACCATTTTGACCCCATTAAAAAGAAACAACTTTCTCAGCAGTTGTTCCAAAACAGGATTTCCTTCTAATACTTAACCCTAAAACAAGATTTATCCTTTTCAGTCTCATTCACAGCTCTTTACCAATTCACCCCATCATCATGCTTCCTGAATTAGTGTCTCCTGGAATAGTTTCTTCAGCAGTTGCTTCTGAAATTGCTGCACAGTTAGTAAGTGTGGGTTCTGGGAACACAGAGGTGAGTGGATGGAGTCCACAACCTTGACGAGGTTTACATCCCACTGTCAAACTCTTGACTCTTAGATCCCTGCCTCTAGCCCAGCAGCAGCAGCTACTCCAAGCCCTCTTCTCTTCTCTCACACTGCTGATTGTTTCAAATCTTTGAATTCAGTTTCTTTTAGATTGTCTACAACCTCCAAGCTGGTGAGGTCAGGCGATAGTAGAAATAAAGACGATTAAATACATTTATGTATGGAGATGTGCATACATACAGCATACAATATGTATCCCCATATTTGAGTTTGGACACAAATGTCCCCAGTAATGGTCACTAAAATAAAGTGTTATATCTTGGCCAACTTGGAAAGCAGGGATACAATGCTACAGGCTCCATGGGATTCCATATCATCTTCCATACACAAGATGGGTGTCAAAGACCTTTGTGACATAGATGGGCCTTGGTGGTTATTAAGGATCTCACAGTTTGGTTCTTAACAAATAGGAATTTGAAGTTACTTATCCTGCCTAAGGAACAACATATGTTCCTATCAATTGTGTTTAAACTGATTTTTAACAGATATAAATGAGCACTAACATTTTGGGAATAAATTCAGATATGAGAACAAAAAAATGTGCAACTCGTATGTGATGTTTGCCTTAGCTTACGCTATTGATTGTGTCCTGCCTTCATCTATGATGAGCTAATAAAAAAGAC